ATCTTGCGAAAAGGCAGTGGCAATCGACATGTATGTGGGGTATCCATTTCAGGAACGCAGGTGATGACCTGAGGAGTGTAGAGATGTACTTGTTGTGTGTGAGCGAAGTGTGGGAGTAGATTCGTATTTGTGAGATGGTACAGTCTGGCAACTGTGAGTCGAGTCATTCATCGAAGAACCCATGAGGGTTCAGGTTTCCACGCCGGTCAGCGTGGAGCGGCACCCCTGGGTTGCGGAGACGGTCGGCTCAGTAAATGGCCGAGTCTCTCCACCACCCTATCCTACTACTCTACTCAACTAGTCGTGCTGTGCTGCTCTAGGCGAGCGCCGCTTGTCGGCGCTCGTCTGGGTGTGGCTCAAATCAACTTCCTGTACTATTTCCGGCATCACCTTAGACCATCTGTGTGCATGGTTTACCACCTTCAACCACCTTCGACCGACTTCAACCGCCTTCAACCAATCGCATATTTTACCGCCTTTTTTCCGGTTTTTACCACCTTTGGGTATTCTTTACCACCTCATACCAACTATTACCGCGGTCCACCGATGCATTGGATTGTGGCACCAATCCCTCCTGTTGAAACCATGGAGGTGCCTCTTTCAAAAGCCTTTGCCATGATGGCCGAGGAAGAGTACCATGATGTCTCTCTCAAAGGCACAGATGGAGTTCTGGTTCCTGCTAATCGTGCTGCCTTATCTGTCCGTAGTCCATACTTCAAGACAATGTTCAAAAAGGATGGATTCAAGGAAGCTACAAAGGATGTAGTCCCCATTGGATTTTCCAGTACTGTTCTCAAATCAGCTGTGGATTACATCCATACTGACAGCGCAACCATCTTGACTTCTAATATTGCCGAACCATCTCCTCCTGAGGTAACAGCACATACTATGGAATATTTCCAAACCATTTTGTCATTGACAGAAGCATCAGCATATTTTGGATTGCCAGGACTCTGCAAAAAAGCTCAGAAGTGCCTTGCTGTGCTTATGAAGAAGGAACCATCCATGGCATTTGCCATTCTTGCAGCATCAAAGCAAGAGGGACCGGTGATTTCGGAGGAAATGATCAATCAGGCTTGGATAGTTTTTGCTTGGATGGCTCAACCTTTGGAGAAAATTGTTCTAGGACATGTTTCTGGCAACAACCTTTCAGCTGTCCTTCAAGATGCTAAGGAAAAAACTAGCAGCACAAGAATTTTCAATCTGTGTCAGTTTTGGTCACAAAGCGTGCCATCAGTTCCGGGTGAAACCAAAGAAGACCGCATCAATACTGCCAAAACCTTGGTGCAAGACTATGTGGAACTTGAATTCATCGACCCTGATGATCTGGAAACTCTGGTTGCATCTTCTGGCTTGGTAAATGATAACCAGCTTGCAACTGCCTACCGAAAACAAGCAAAGAGAGCCAAGCATGAACACGACATGACATTCTCCAAACCAGGTTTGGTGGGTGGAACACTGGAGTGGAAGAATGCCAAATCCAATAAAGTTTCCAGTACAAGCGATGGTACCGGTTGGATTTGTGATGTGGACTATCCAAACAGATCCGATACCCACACATAGACTCGGTCACAGTGTTTGGCTTGGTGTGATAAAATCTACGCACAATCTGCATCCAACAAAGTTTTGTGGGACCCTGAAAGGCTGCTGGGGTTTCTCTAGCGATACTGGACATGCATACTTTGATGGTGCAAAAGATCCATTGCTTGGTGCTGCTGCCAAATTTGGACGCCAATCACAAGAAGTCACCATGACTCTTGATTTGTCGGATGACAACACAGACAATGGAACACTAGCAGTCTCAGTGAAACAAATAAATAAATACTAAATAGATACGTTAAGGAGCGAGGGGGGCGAGGCTAGGCAAAGCAGTGGCTGTGGTGGTGGGTGGCTGGTGTGGTGGGCATACGGGGAGAGCAATGAGGACGCGAGCAGGGCAAAACAAGGGGGGCAGGGAAGGGGGGTGCATGGAGGAAAACCAGGAAGGACAAGGGAGCAAAATTAGCGGAAGAGTGCAAGTGCATGGTCGAGCACCAATCAACATAATGACTACCAATATGCGGGCGCATGTGAATGGAACCAGTGTTGGTTTTGTGCCAGTTGTGTCATGCAAGTTGGGTACGGTCAAAATATTGGAGTTCAAGTTGCTCTAGTTGTTGCCTTACACAAGCATGCTTCATCCAATGGTTTAACTGACTGCATGGGGCCAAAAGCACTTGCGGAGGACCCCAATTGTTAGCTTTTCAAATGAGCTGATCTGGTCCCCACAATATACTACCTCCAGTTACGTCCGGCTGGGTTCCGGTGGGACTATTCTCCAACTATTCTTAGCTTGCGGAAGAGTAACTTATTAAATGTATTGGAATTGTCTGTAGAAGTCTAACTAGCTAAAAGACTGACTCTAATTTTCTAGCTGACGGGAGTCCCTGCGAGCACGATCCAGATGCCTTTAATTTTGCCGACAGTGTTCCTGGGTAACGACACCACCTTTGGTTGCTAGACATTGGTATGAAGGTATCTGCAGTACTCACAGCAGTTTTCTTACTCGCCGATCTGCGGAGCTTTGTACTGGATGCTTCCTTCATGAAACAGTACCATCCCATCAGAGCTTGTGGCTGCAGCTGCGAGCTTGGAAACCCCGTTGCGATGTCTTGCGGCCTGTATATAGGCTACTTTGCTGATGCACTGAGAAGCCTCCCGAGTCTTGGGTCTATCTTCCTTGGCTTCCACAATTTGACTGGAACGGTCAGGCATCAAAGCTGAGGTTTTAGTTTACATGCATATCTTCGTGGCTGCGCTTCACCGTATCTTCAAAGGGCACGACGTGTCCAAGAGGGGTGGACGGGGCCTGACCTGAATAGCAGTATTGTGGCCGTTTCCTAAAAGGAAATACGGTACAGTCCAAGAGAACTGGAGAAGAGGCCGATTCACCTAGTTTTCTTCCGTCAAGCTGCAGCTTGCTCTAGGTCTCCACGCAGGTAGAGAGCGTCATTTGTCCCGTGACTGCCAGTGTCATGAAGGCCACGCTGGGTGGAAGATCATGCACTCTTGTTCTTGGGAGTTGTCAGCAAACGCCAACATGTCCAAAAGACGATCCTGCCGTACGATTTTATTAAGCATACAACAAAAACAGACAAAACCGACTTGGGCCTGCTCGTGCTCAAACAAGCAAGAACCGAACAAAACAGTTTCAAAGCATGGTGAGGTAAAGCAAACCGTAGCGTACCGGTTCGGTGCATGAAGCACAGCTGTGGTAGAAAAAAGGAACCTGGAGTTTGGTGCGCTTTTGACCACCTTGAGAACCCTTGAAGACTTGGACGGGATGAGGTATACTGATACTGACACCAATACTCCCCACGGCGGAATCAGCTACATGATTGCTTGACTCACGTTATGCCTCGCATCTCCAGCCACCTGGATCAATACGGGATGGCATTCGCGTGTGCTGTACGTCCCTTTGGCATGACCTAGCGTACGTACATCATGGGGTTGCCGAGTCGAGTCTATCTCTGCCATTCCGATCGACAATAGGCGAACAGGATCGAGAGACACGTGAATCCCCCCATCGGCTGTCGAGTACGGCATCAGCCGCCATTCTTTCGCGGTTTCGTCGCCTCTTCGTTTACACGGACAGCAAAGCACGGAGGATAGGATGGAAGTCTTCCGAGCGAACGTATTCAGTTTCGAAGGATGAATCGATGAATCGTTACATGCATGCACGCAAAAAGTCTTGCTTGATTCGATTCGTGTCGACTACTGTACCGTACATTGGGCGACGCAAGAACGTCGCCCTCGGCCAAATGTATTTTCGAAACTGCTGGATGGGGGTTTGGCGGCATGCACGGGCAACAATCGAGTATCACTTAGCTATAGCGTTACATGAAGAACACCGTAACTCCGTCTTAGCCCAATCCAGGGATATATCCAGACAACTATGGGTGACGTGACGTGACGAGTCGAGTCGAGCCCTCGGGCAGATCAAGGCCGGTGGGCAAGTATCCGTACCCTTCTGGATCAAAAAACGTGGCTGGCTCGTCGTTTCTTCCAGTCTCCTCTCCTTCTTGGTGCAGCCTTTACTCGATTGGCAACCTTGTACTTTTGGCTGGCAGGCAGCCTTGTGTCCTCGGCAAAGGCATGTTCGGGATGATGCGACGCAATGGAACACGACGAACTCACGAGTTTTTCGGTCAACTAACTTACTTTGCTTCCAAAGAGGCCGAGTGACAGTCGACTCCCATTGGGCCCACTGGATTGCTTCTTATACATACAAGCAGATATCAACAATCGTGCAGCAATGCATTGGGAAAGCTCTTGAGAGATCCAACAAAAACCTCCTACTAGTAGTATGCCAAGTGCTAGCATGTTCCTGTCCGGTCGGAACAAGTTCGAAACACGTCCCTCAGTGCACCTATTCTTCGTTTTCCGATTGAGATAAGGTATCCTCGTCCTTCTACGGTACATGCACGAAAGATCATCCCTTCCTTCGCCGTCCTATCTTAGCTTCTTAGCTATACATTCCAATCCACTCCACTCCACTCCACCGAACAAGCCACTACCACTAGCTAGCTAGCTAGTAACTCGATGGAGATAGATAGCTCGATGTGTTCTTTTTTTGGCTACGTTTTTCGATTCCCGTGGTCAGGCGGTCAGCTCGCGGAATGGAAGAAGAAAGGCACGTGCAAGTGGGTCACAAACGTGATTTCTTCTTCAACTCCACCTGCTACAATAATTAAACGCCATAAATCGGATGTTCAACCCCATTTGCTTCAATTTTATTAATTAAGCCGGATAAATCGGATGATCCGAAAGAAGATCAAAATCCTGTAGGTTGGACGTTTTCGATCTGCTCCAAGAAACAACACATTAACAAACGACGTGGCGGACTGACAGCTGTGTGTGACTTGGGGAAGAACCTCGAAATGTGTCTGCGAAATATCTAGCTAGCTCGGCGGCAAAATCTTTGGTCAGAGAACCCTTTGCTTCCACCGCCTCATTTCTCACTTTTCTCCTTCTCTTTCCCACAAGAATAAGCCAACCATAATATCTGCTCTCCTATTTGCAATTAAATTTTAACAATTTCTCTACCATGACCAACAGAAGCAGCAGCAAGAAGAAGCAGAGCGCCAACAAGAAGATCAATGCAGCCCACCACAAGAAGAAGAGCAGCGACCCCAAGATCAAGAAACTGGAGCTACAAAAGATCAAGGATCTCTTGCAGAGTGTGTTGAATGCCAACAGCGTGGACGCTGTCAAGGATGCCGTCTTTAGTTGCGCGGGAGTCCCCTTCAAGATGCACCAAAAGTGCGTCTTTCGTCGTTTGGTGGACACGCATACCATGGGGTACCTGGCAGAAAGCGGTACCGACAGGTCGAAGTATGTGGAAGACTACGTGATTCAGGGCATGATTGCCAATGGCGGTCGCTTCTTCAAGATTGAATTGTCATCGCAAGACGGAACTCCCGCCATTCGACAATTGCTGCCGGCCAGTGACAAAGATCGCAAGACCATTGTCACGTGCGTCCATCGATTCTTTCGGACCATTGCCGAGCGAATGGCGCGTCAAAACAACCATGACATGGACAAGAAGAAAGTGGAAAAGAAGAAGAAAATGGAGAAAAAGACCAAGAGAGACGATCAGGAAGGTCGTTTGATGACCCACCAAACTATGAACTTCAAGATTCCCAAGAAGAACAAGACTTCCAAGACCAACAAGACCGGCAGCAAGACAATAGCTACCCCTAAGGAGCTCATCCTGCAGGAACCTGTCCCCGAGGATATTGCCATGGTGGAACCTGCTGCCTCCCCTACTTCCAAGACGTTTAATAGCAAGGCGGTGGCTACTCTTGCCCCCAAGGATGACGTCTCTGTGGTTCCAAGCTTGGTCTCGGCTTCATCTGTTGCGGCGTCCTCCTCGGCTGCATCCAAGGGCACATTATCTGTCCACCAAGAAGAAGACAATACCCAGGAGGATGATGATGAGGAGGCGTATGGACACATTTCGATTCCAAACTTGGACGACAGCCGCCACGACGATTGTGTCAGCCCTCTTTCCATGGACGAGGACGACGACGAGTCCTTGCCCAAAGAAGACTTTTTGCTTCCTCCTCCCAGTGCCCTTCGATTCACGGAAAGCATGGGGGCTCACAGTCTCGGTAGCATTGCCTGCGATGATGATGATGATGATGACAGTGCATTCGCGGCTATTGGCGGTTGGCACGACGACGACGACGACGACAATGATGAACCCATGGATCTCATCATGGCCGACCTTCTTCCTTCCGATTCGTCGGTTGGAGAAATGCACCAAGCCATGTATCGATTCCATGCCGCTCGGGTTCATGGCCCACGCGGCAGCGGCGGCGCAAGTTTGCAAGGTCTCGCCAAGCACTTACGGTCGGTGGTGGACAATTCCTCGGAACTCCTTCAACGCGTCGAGGTTCTCGGTCGGATGGAACAGGAACAAGCCAAATTCACCAATGCCAACTCCATGATGACAACGACAACGACAACAACAAAAGATGAAGACGCCACGGGTGGCATTCAAAACTACGGAATCACCACGGGAACGGCCTACCTTGTGGATCTTGTCATTGATGGTGCCACCGGACATTCGTTGCTCTTGGATGATAACGTCGATGCTTTCTACAGACAGGAACACCACTAGTTTTGCAGGCTCTGGTGGAACGCAGGACTAACGAAGGGTGGATGGAAATGGATCGCGCCAACGCGGTGATAGGAGCGTGTATCTTTTGCTTGTCATTGTGAACAGTCTTACATGTTCCATATGGCATCTACACTATCTATATTTGGGGAGACAGACAAACGTACTGAAACGAAAACCACACACAAAACACAAACCACAATCTACGTGTCTTGGGGGTGATTTTACCTAACCCACTTGCTCCGGTATGCTTCATGAAGGACGACGGGCCGATTGGTGGGAACAAAACGACGATCGGTATAGTGCCATCTTGGAGCAGAGTGCATACATTGATGGGGCAATCAAATGGAATGATTGAGGCAGCAATTGAGCCAAACACAATCGAGGAGCCACCCTACAACTAACTACATACATCGTAATGCATATCTATTCAAACTAAAAGACAACAAAGACGACCACGGTTACCACCTCCGCATCTCGTTTCTGCATGCGTGGAAATCCACGAAACCATTTTAATAGTGCGGCTATCATTGGCACCCGCTGTCTCTGGTGCTGCATCATCATCCCATCAGTTGTTATAGCTAGATAGAGTTGTACTCGTGAGAGGATCGAGCCACGAGTGCTAAGGGTGGCTTGCTCAGTTTTCGCGAGAAATAGGTTTTGAAGAGTGCAAGGAACGTTCTCCGAGTGCAGTAGCGGTACTGGTACCATACCATAATCCACCGACGTGAGCCTTCTATTCCCGTGTAACATAAATGCACCATCTCCCTATTAAGGAGTGTGGTGCCGGCGAGGGCACAAGTGGTGGTCTTGTGTGAAACCAATCGCCACTCTTAGACCGGGTGCAGTTGCTCAAGGCTTCAGCTGCGACAGAGCGTTGAAATCCATCCTTTGGGGTCACTTCGAGATTTTTGATTTCTTTTTTGTTTTTAATTGAATAAGAAAGCAATCAGCTATTAACAACATGTTGAATTGGAGGAACGGCGCCTGTTGGTTCAACCATCAGTCCTCTTCCTGCGGGCACTTGTCCTCTCTTCCCACAAAAAAGGTCTGCACCTCACAAAAATCGTAAAGTAAAGTATTGACTCTCTCCTCCCCAAAAACTATTTCCAGTTTTCTGAAGATCGCTTTGTTGGAAGAAACTTGCACCCCATAGCACTCTGTTGGATCCAGGCATGCATCATATGTATGAGCAACTGGGTCAGGATCCCATACCCTATTATCAAAATCAGAGCAAAGTGGGTCCACAGTTTGATTGGAAAACTTGTCAAAGTTGTTGTCATTATGAAGCACTGATATGTTGGCCCCTTGATCAATCAACTTCAACAGGGCCCACTCCATGGGTCCGGATGTCAATAACATCATGCGAAACAGCTCTGTACCTGCGGGGCAAGATGCACAGTTTCCAAACTGCTCCCTTGCAAAAAGACCACTAAAAGTTCCCTGAGCAACCTTCTCCCCATCCATGAAAAGTGCATACTGTCCAGGAGCATCAAGTCCCATAGTGACATGGTTGATTATTGTGAAGACATAGCAAGAATCAGCTGGGACACAGGTCTCCTCCAAGATTGTTGCGAATTTGTACTCTTGTGGATAAGAGTCTTGCTCAAACAGGATTTCCCCTGTGCTGTTATTAACAAGATTCCACCCGAAAAATGCAGGGAAAGAATCAAGGGTCAGTGAAAGGCGTAGGAGTGACATGCCAGTGGGGCACTTCTTTTTTCCAGGAAGTGCATAAACAGCGGTGACCCCACCACTGCGATCTTGAGGGGAACCAATTGCAAGTTCGTTGCCATCAGGAGACATTGCAACTGGGTAGTGTGTGAATGGGAACTCGTCTCCCAAAGAATTCCAAGATTTCAATTCAGCTTCCCATCTGTAAACTCTGACCTTGTTACCAACCCTAAAGGCAATCACAGATCCATCACCAGATACTGCCAAGGCATTGTTTTCTTGTGTGGAAAGGCTAGTTTCAATGCAGCCAGTGGTGTTCATCTGTGGAGCCCTCCGTGGTACCCAAACGCCAGCATCATTGCGAGTAAAAATGTGAAGCTGAGTGCCTTGACACGTGGGGAAGCCATATGCAAGGACAGTGCCATCTTGGTTCAATGCCAATGACAATGGATATACTCTGTACTTATCAGACTCATAGCGGAACTCAGTCTCCGTAGCATAGTCACCACTCAACTCATCCCAGGCCAGGACAACAATGTACTCAGAGAAAAACTCTGAGTAAAACACAAACGTTGAGTAAAAAAGTGACTGCACAGCCAGTTTGCTGCCATCTTCGCTCAATGACAAGGAATATAAACTAGCCATGTACCATTTCTTGTGATGGATACATTTGCGCGGAACTCAAATATTCCATCTTGGGCCTCATAGACTTGAATCACTTTGCGAGCCTCCTCAAATGACATTGCAAGAACTGCACCACCATCAGACAAAGCAAATTCAGAGATCAACGGAAAGTCCTGGGTTTGTTTGCAGCCATCATGATTGCACTTGTAGATATGAATTGTTTTGTTGGAATCATGGACTGCAATTGTTAGGGGGGCTCTGAAGCTTGGGTTGCTGACCACATTGAAGGGTCCAGAAGAGAGGGCCACTTTCCAAGCAGACCCAATGAGAGTTTCTCGAAGTATCCAGGATGGCCCAACCTTGTCATATATCTGCACACTGTCCCCAAAAGGTTCTGACACAACCATCGACGTCATTGAAAAATCCACTGCAAAACCAGAAGAGGAGCCAAAAGCTCCATTCAAGAGACTGCTTTGCCACTCATCTTTTGGTTGCTCACAGTAGAAGTACCCAGTGCTGACATAGCCATCCTTTTCGGCTCCACAAACATATTGGGATGTGCTCACACAAGTGGATTCGCAACAGTCACCACCATCCAATTTGAACTCGGGTGTGTTGAAAAGGGGGTCACAGTGACCATTTTTCACTACAGGAAAGAAAACAAAAGCTTGAATGAGGATGAACTGAGCAACTGAGCAACTGAGCAACATTCACTTGTATGGTCCATGTGCACATGCATACCTGGAGGGACTTCACACCGCCCCCCAAAAGAGTCTTGAGAGCATACACATGTCCCGTTGTTGCACTTTCCATCATACAGGCATGGGTTTGAATCATCATGGCAAACACGGCAGAGAAACTCTGAATCAACCAATTTTCCTGTTTCCTGGTTCTCATTTTCAGCCGAAGCCTCTTTTGCTACCGCATTATACCAAGACAAACTGACAGGAGAATTAGAGTCTAGCTGCGTTCCCACTTGCATGTAATCACTGAGAAAGGCAACCGTGTAGTTGCCATAGTAGCCATTGTACGCATGGAAGAAATACTTGAAGAAGTTTCCAATGTCGGAACCAACACCTTCTTGACCATTGGAAAGCTTCCTGTCCGGTATTCTTCCACCATGTAAGAGGAACTCAGAAGAGGTCAAGGCCCACCGCGCCCCTGTGAACATGACAACATCATATTTGCCACCATCATATTCATGGACGTAGACTGGCCTGTGATAGGATTCCACCACTTCACCGTTGCTCAATTCAATCGATTCATATTCAGTTGACCAGTCTCTTGTAGTCGCAAACTTCTCTGTTCGAGCATCAATTGTGATCCAAGGGCATGGGCTGACAAACTCACATCTGAGCCCATACAAGCCATCTTCACAGTCACAGACAGCACTAGTGCAGATTCCTTTCCCTCCACAATCAGCACTTCCTTCCTCCTCACGGGTGCAATCAAAACAGGAAAGGCTGAATGGTTCAAGAACAACTTCATGAGATGTGTCGTCATGGACAAACCACTGGATTGATGCCGTCTCTCTGATATCAAAAGTAGCTGTTTCAGCCGATCTGGCAATCCAACTGCAGGCATCTCCCTCCTCATTATTATCCTTCAATTCCACTTGAAAAGTCCAAGCCTTGATGTCATCACAGTACGCAAAAACACCCCTACCCGGTGTATCAATTTCAATGGAGCGCCTCTCCACATACCGGCCCCGTCGCTCCAACTGAAAGCCACCAGAGAAATCTAAATCATACATGCCATTGAAGGTTCCAAGGGAGGAAACAAATCCATCTCCCATATTCACAATGATTGTGTTGCAGACATATTGCCCTGAGCTTCGTAAGGCTACAATGGACAGCCAGCCAACAAGCAATATGCTGAGGATCATGAGAAATATTCCGGTTTTCCAAGAACGGTGCAGAAATCCTCGATTTGTTGTTGTTCGTTTCGGGATTTTCAGGTTGGCTACTTCATATGCGGCCCTTTGGGTGCTGCTACCAATGAAACCAGACTTTGCAAGGGTGAACGCCACATCATCGATGTCTGCCATGAACTCGAGTGCAGCAAAGTTGAGCATAATATCCAAGACACTATCAACTTGCATGACCAAAATGAAGATTGTCACTAGCAGAAGGAGCCCGGCAAATAGCTGAGCAAGGCAGGACAGAAGCCATGTGGAGTAGGTTGCTCCAGGATGTGTGTCCAGTACTTCTGGGTGGAAGCCGTCTTTGAATCTGTAGGCAAATTTATGTTTGTAATGGCAACATTGCAAAATAAAGATGAGACTTCGCCACAGCCAAATGGCAAGAATACTCGGAAAATAAGAACTCACTTCATGACAACCTGAATGAGGTCAGACTGAAAAGCTACAGCTTGGAAAAGTGCGACTCCTTGAGCAATCGTGACACTCAAGTCAACCATAGGAGGCAAGTTGAGCCCATTGCCACCCCAGTCGACAACATCAATCATTGTCAGCAGAATGGTTGTGATCTTATACAGTGAAAATGGATGGAAAGCAGGAACACAGCAAGGAATTGAGATGATGAGATACGCATTGAGGAAAAATTATTGGTTCTCAGTTGGCAGTTATGGTTGTAGCCTGTCACTCACCTGGAGGACATAAATGAATGCTGCATACCAGAAGGCCCAACTATTGACACTGCACAAATAGAAGAGAGAATAGGTACTCTCACCAAAGCTAGCATGCCATTTTGCCTTGTCTGCCTCTTCTTTATTCTTGTCTTCATTCGAAAACGTCCCCTCGTGTGTTGGTGATTGATGCAACGCAAATTCTTCCAAATCGCTACTCTCTGCTTTGTGCTTCGTTTCATTCGGACTAATCAAGAGTGGCTTGAGGAGGTTTGCCAATGTTGCCAGATCTTTGGGAGATAGAGATTCCATGATGCTAGATATCCCCGTGCCAAAGGTAGAGGGTGAAGCTCGGGTCGTAGCATCATTGGTTGTTGTGCAGGGAGATACACCGTCCGAAAAGATCATAGAATCGACATCCACTTCATCTTTTACATGAAAAAGAGGATTTCCATGGTTTGTTGTGGTTGTCGATGTCATTCCGTCCTCCTTGACCTCATTTTCGCGTTTGTTTGAAATGGTCATTATTGATAGGGCAAGTAGTCACTCGTGATTATGATGGACCAACAGCTCTTGGTGGTGGCTTGCTAGCAGTTTCAGCCAAATCAGATCAGTACAGTCCTCTTGTGGTATGTATTGCTCTTGTTGTGTATGTTCAGGGCTCGAGGAGCCTTAGAATTCTGGTTGGTCAAAGCTTGTACGAGTGTACTTACTGAGGGAGATTCGAAAAGGAGGGGCAACCTTATACACGGCGTTTCTCAATACTAGCTAGTAGCAACGTAGCAACAGCTTGTGATACCTGCGAACGGAGGCCGATGTGCAGTACGATGTAGACATGGGATGACACAAAAGAATAAGCTAAAATTAAAAGGGGATTCTACGTCTACCTCGTTCTAGCGAGTCCCGGGAGGTCACCTCGTGATTGCCAACCACCAGCTGGTTTTGGCTCCTCTCGCACTCCCTCTTGAACCGAACGGGGTAGCAAATTTTGTACGTAGTCCTCTTTGCTGCACAACGATGTCAAACTCTAAACAAACACAAACATGCAATGTAGTGGTAGTGGCTCTCTCTTGTATTTTCGTAGATCAACTCGTCCTCGTTTAATTCTCGCTCTCTCTCGTCCTCGTCCTCTCCTGCTCCTCTTTTCATCATTGTCGTCGTCGACTTCAATGAATGGCTGCTCAGGTTCGTTCCATTCATAGTCATTCTCCGAGGCGGCGTAGCACGTCCCGCCCTCCTGGGAGAGCACTTGCTTGTTCTTCAATGGTGAGACCCCAAAGTTGAACTCCCGTGCGCATGAAATGCTGGAGACAAGTTCGACGTTTCGTGACAGAAGGGATACGAGTTTTGTACACAGTGTCTTTCATGAAAGCCACTAGCTTGGAAATGAGCGCGGAGCGCCTCCAATTTTGGTCTCGATGTCGAGTCCGCTCAGAACCACGATCTTCGACCTGGTGGGTTGTAAGGAAGTCGTGAACCAACGCTTCCCGACCATCCGACTGTGAGGTTGCGACTGCTATCTTGAGCTGGACGGCATCGAACTAGAACAACAGGCTTGTCGGTCGAGCTTCGAGTGTCATTCCCGGCAGGCTTGTTTCTTGTTTGATCGCGACGGCAGTTCCAGCTCTAGTTGTCTTGGGGACCTTCTTGAAGTGGCGGCACGACTTCCACGACGCTGGTATCGGAGACCGAGTCGTCGTTGTTTGATGCTGCTGAAGTGTCGGCGACTGCAGCAGCTGAATTGGCGACCTGAGTGAACAGACCAGGCTGGTTGGTTAGCATGGTGAGGAGCTTGTTGACGGCAGGGTCTTGTAGCAACGTTCCCACGTCACCTTGTCAGCAGGGTCGGCTTTGCAACAGGGGTAACCGCGTTGGCTTCAAGGTAGCTTGCTTCTTCCCAGCTGCTTTCTTCACGGTAGCCTTCTTGGGAGCTGGCTTCTTCGGAGGAGCTTCAGCAGCAATGGAACTTGCTTGGGAGTACCCACAAGCACCTTGCGACGGTTCTTCTTGTTGCTTTGGTTGTTTTTCCGG